TTATTATCAGATAACAAACAATTAACATATGTCTGTTGTTTTTTATTATCAGATAACAAACAATTAACACATGTCTGTTGTTTTTTATTATCAGATTAGATTTTTTTAGCACCACACCATTTCGTTTTTAGTAACATTTTTAGTTTAACCTCAACTTAAAGTCGTGTCCAATGTATTAGATATTTCCTCTTGAATTTTATAATGATATAAATCTGTAGGTTAGTCAACAGTTTTCTAGAGAACTCTGTTTCTTTATATTGGTGTGTAAATGACATTGATATTTTGACTTTGTGCTGGAATAGATGAGAATTTTGCATACAAATCACTGACAGCCAAACTAAATATTAATTTTTTATGTGTTCATTTTAACGAGATAGTTTTTTTTGTTAACTTAATTAGGTGAGAAATACTAAAGAACCAAAGCCAAAAACCCCCAGAAAACAAAGCAGTGAGAACATAGATGTAATTTTAATGGCTAAGGAGAAAAAGGCAAGAAGAACAGTTATTTTGTATAATTTATAACTTATAATATCTTGTTAAATGTTACTTTTTTTCATAGATTATGACCTCCAATGGCTCAGTTGGTAAGTGTGAAGACTTCTTATGTTAAAAAACCAGGTTTTGATACTCATGGTGGGCAGCACAGCAATGGTAGCCCATTGTATAACTTTGTATTTAACAACAAACAAACAAATTTTCAGGGATTTTATTTGCCCAAATATGAAATGGTGGTAGAAATATCATGATAAAGTTTGTGATGTAGACTTGCCATATTTGATTCTATGTATAACCTAATGTAGTTTACAATTTGATTTTAAAATTTCATCAGAAGAGAATCATACATTGGAGAGTTTGAGTTTCTCTCAAAGGCCAAGTTGTTCATGTTGTGATGTCCATTCTCATGTTATAGAAGTGGTGAAAACATACATAAGTCATGATATTTGGGTTTAATGTCTATACATATTATCCATGTTATTTCTGGTTACATTAAATATATGTATAAGACTAATTAAAACTCATTAATTAACCAAAAGTGTTTATATGTGCTGAATTTGATAAAAGTTCTTTCCTTAAAATAATCTGAAGTTTTTGTTCTGTGTAGCTCAACAAATTAAGTGCTCCAGTACTAGTATCTTGGCTAAAGGAAAAAGGTGTTCTTTGCAAGTCCAAGGACAAAAAGCTTGACGTTATTCAACGAGTTGAAAGATACCTTCACCTCACAGCCCCAGAGCAATAGCTGCCTGGAAAAGCATCTTTTATAGGTAAGTTTCTAGAATAATAATATTGAGTATGTTATCTTCTTCTGGGAAAAAATTTTGTCATTGTTCAGCATCAGGATGTTAATGACGTATACAAGCATGTTTTTTGAAATAGAATTTCTGAATCTTTTATTTTTCATAGTATTAGAGTTTTGATGGTGTGTATTTTCTTGTTTATTGTACGTATTCTTCTTTCCTTGTGTGGTATACAGATGTACTATGTTTTCCTATCACCTATAGTAACATAATATTGTTTTCATATTAGTAACTGTTATTGTACCGTCATGATGGCAACACATGGTCCAGTGTGTTTAATATTACCTTATTCTAGTCACCTTAACCCTTTTGTTGATTACGTCTTTTGCTCCCAAAGATATTTTATTCTGTATTTTGAAACTGGGTTATACTAGTTATAACTGCAATATTGTTTGTTGGCCGAACTTGGACATACGTACATCAGCTGAATCTGATGGCTAACTAATGCTGTTAGGGAACAAAGGTCATGAGGTGATGCTGGACAAAAAAAATGTTAGGTGATGTCCAAAACCCAAGTTTACTTATTTACAGTAGAGATCTAACTAATGCTGCCCTTCTTTATTGTGGGAATAATGAAGACGAAGAAACTGACTAGTCAGAAATAAGTACTGTCTCTCATCAGTGGGCTGAGGCTGCTTCCTTTGTTTATTGTCGTTTGAATAAAAATTTTGTTCATTCATTTAAAGTTTGTCCAGTCTGTTTATTCACACACCAAAGAAATAAAAATTTAGTCAAACTGCTACATTGTAATTTTTCTTGGAGGATTCTGCCATTATTATGGAAAATTCTGTCTGAAGAGTTATCAGGAAATCAGTTTTAAACACTTGTTCATAGAGTTAGAATTTTGATAAAGTATACAGGCAAGTTTCATGTTGATTATACAAGTTGTACTTGCATTGATCATAACATCAGAGTTTTGTTTTGTTGTTGTGCATATCTTGTTTTTTTCAATGTTTATAGTACTAGAATTTTGATTACGTATAAAAACCAAGTTTCTTATTGACTAAACAAGTTCCCCTTCTTTCATTGTTCCTAGCATTATAATTTTGACGAGGTTTAAAAAGAAGTTTCTTATTAGTTACATATTGATCATAACTGTTAAAAGATTGGAAATTTCAGTCTTATTTAATCACATTTCTACAATATCTATAATGTTCATGTTCATGTATTTAAAGAAACATTTATTTTCTAGTTCTATGTTTTATAGGCTAAAGTGTGCCTTATTCAGTTATTATTATTATTGTTCTAGGTCAAACTATATGGCTTGAAACATGTTTAATAGTTGTGTACATTTATTGTGTTTTGAGTTACATACAATATAACTTTTGTTGACTGGAATTTATTATGTTTATTATTGTAAACCATCATAAATTATTCTTTCAAGGATTTTTCTCCGTGTAAGTTTTGGTGTGAATCTGTAAATTAGTATTGAACTCTTCAGTTGTATATATTCTTATGTAAAGTATCTAATTACTGGTTTGTTTATGTTTAGAAACATTGTATTAAACTTCACCTGTGTGATATCATTATCCAAACACAGAAGATTCTGTATATGTTTCACCTTGGATGTTTAATGTGTTGATGTTATGAACTACAGGCCATTACGCTGTGTACCCTGTAAACTTTGTTGTATTGTTTTTTCACTACCCTGTAAACTTTGTTGCTCATTCTTCATATCTAATCGATTGTTCTTCTTATTTGTATTTTATTGTCTCTTGTGTTGTCTAAACTTTGATTTTTTTCTCTTCTTGTTCTTTACAAAGTTAATTGTCCATCTAATATCAGTCTAAACTTTGTTCTTGTAATATTAATGCTAAGCGTATGTTTTTATTTTATTGTTCAGTTTAAAGTTAGTTCTCTTGAAAGTCTGAGAATATTCCAACACAAATTATTTGTTATTTTAGTGATGTGAAAATAGAATACTTATTAAAAGAGGATTAATGTAAATAGTGTATAAATTATTTGGAAATATATTTATTTATTTGGAAAAGTTGAATTTGCATATGGAAAGTAATAAACATAGCTATTTTATAAAAAAAAAACAATCTTTCCCACATTTGTACGTTATCAGATGTAAATATAGATAAATATTAATAGGTTATTCCTTAAAGTTTGGTCTTCTAAATCTTTTACAAATGTTATTCTACAATGTTAATTGCTTTTATCAGCTTTTCATTTTGTAAAAACAAAATGCTTCAGTAACACATATGTGAAATAAAATAGTGAATCTGAAATGTTTTTTTATACCCTGATTAATGAATGTAAGATCTCCATTATAAAATAAATATACATGTATTTTTGGATTGAATATTAACTTGATGTTACTTTTATATAAAGATGTTATATACAAATAACTTTATGAGAAAGAATATTGTGATTTATCTTAGCTATTGATAATTCTTGTGCTTTTTTTCTGAAATTATTTTATAGTTTGAGTTTTTATTTTAATTTATTAGATAAGGAATATTTTATCAGACTTCTCATCCAAATATTGAAGCTTTCAAAATTCTTTGAATTCAGGATTTAAAATTGTTTGATTAATTTGTTTTGTATTTCATTCACAACAAACAAGATGTTTTAAATGTGCCTCTTATATTTGTACTAACACTTCTCAAGGAAGACCCATTGTCTGCTAAGTTCAGAAATAATATTCCCTCACAACTTAGTTTATAACCTGTAGGTTAGTTAGACTTTAGTGTCGTGACACAACTTCTAACCTGTGGGTTAGTTAGACTGTAATGTCATTACACATCTTGTAACCTGTACGTTAACTAGATTTTAACCACAAGATATAGAGCTGTCATCTTATTTAAACTAGAAGGTTAAGTTTCAAAAGTAAAAGGGGGTCTGGGGCTCTCCTCCAGTGGTAGTTCAGGGACAAAGCCCCCTGACTGAAATTGAATTTTGAAATCCATTTTCAATGCATTTAAGACTTATTTTTGCAGTTAAATTTTAAGTATTTTGGAACAGCCAAACCTTATCTTTGGAGCAACATTAAAGCTAAAACTTGTTTCAAAATGAATTCCCATGATTCCTTTTTATATTTCCCATACAAGAAATTAGAACAGAAACATGACTACAAACTGTATTTGTAGGATTCTATTTAAACATGACTACAAACTGTATTTGTAGGATTCTATTTAAACATGACTACAAACTGTGTTTGTAGGATTCTATTTAAACATGACTACAAACTGTGTTTGTAGGATTCCATTTAAACATGACTACAAACTGTGTTTGTAGGATTCTATTTAAATATGACTACAAACTGTGTTTGTAGGATTCCATTTAAATATGACTACAAACTGTGTTTGTAGGATTCCATTTAAACATGACTACAAACTGTGTTTGTAGGATTCTATTTAAATATGACTACAAACTGTGTTTGTAGGATTCCATTTAAATATGACTACAAACTGTATTTGTAGGATTCTATTTAAATATGACTACAAACTGTATTTGTAGGATTCTATTTAAATGCAAATTAGTG